GGGCTTGGAGGCTCCCAGCTGAGAGGCAGGAAGAAAGAGCCTCAGCTGGGCTGGCCTGCTCCTTCGGGTCAGAGCAGGGGTGAGGGGTGGGAGCCAGGCATGAGGCTCCAACAGGTCCAGCCCTGTTTTCCATTCACTCAGTCTCTGAGTCGTCCTGTGCCTCAGTTTCTCCACCTGTCACCTGTTCAAACACTATGTCAACAGCTACCACCATCAACATAACAAGGTCACCAGGCACCAAATGCCTCCACATCCCTGGCATTCTGCTTTCTTCAAATTCAACCTCAACCTGCTCCAAGTCTTTTTATTCCACCTGAAGACAGAGCTAATAAGTTGAGTGCAGTGGCTCATGCCTGTAATCCCAGCACTTTGGGAGGCTGAGGTAAGAGGATTGCTTGAGCCCAGAAGTTCAAGGCCAGCCTGGGCAACATAGCAAGACCTCATCTTTACAAAAGTCAAAAAATTAGCCAGGCACAGTTGTGCCCGCCGGTAGTCCCAGACACTTGGGAGACTGAGGCAGAAGGATCACCTGAACCCAGGAGATTGAGGCTGCAGTGACCTGTGATCAGGCTGTTGTCCTCTAGCCTGAGTGACAGAATGAGACCCCAACTCAAAAAACAAAACAGAGTTGGGTGAATTTAATAAAATTAAGTGGAGGTCATCATGTATGGAAAAGTGCCCTGTGCATTGTGGGTACAACTGTTAGTTGCTCTAGCACCCCCTTTCCTGTGGGGGGGGGTTCGGTGCACACCAGCTCTCCCTGTTCACCTTCTCGTCCTCCAGGACTCAGCGTACCGGCTGCTGCTTGGGGGCCTCCCTGAATCCCACACTACCCACTGAGCTCTGCCAGGCTGGTGCTCTGCTCACACACCCTCTACTGCCTACACGGCTGGGCAGGTTTACACTCCATCTTTCACTGCCATTCCCATGAGGGTAGGGGCTGTGACCCACCCACTCACGCATGCCCAGATGGCCCACCCATGCCTGGAACATGGTGGAGGCTTAAAAGTGTGCATGGGCCGGGCTTGGTGGCTCAGCCTGTAATCCGTGCCTTGGGAGGCTGAGGTGAGTGGATTGCCTGAGCCCCTGGGTTCGAGACCGGCCTGGGCAACTTGGCGAGACCTCATCTCTACAATAAATCAAAAGTCAGCCGGGCGTGGTAGCGCGTGCTTGTAGTTCCAGCTACGTGGAAGGCGGAGGTGGAAGGATCGCCGGAGCCCAGCAGGTCGAGGCTGCGGTGGCCGGGAACAGCCACTGTATTCCAGTCTGGGCGACAAAGTGAGACTCTGACTCAAAAAAAACCCAAAAAACAAAAAAACGTGTGCGTGGAATGCAAACTCATCCCATCTGCTGCTTGCAAAGCCCTCTGGGTCCTGGGGGTCCCATCCCGGCTTCTCCCTGGGGGCACAGCTGCTTCAACAAAGAGCTCTAAGAAGTTCGATGGATTGTGTGCGTGGATAAAACATTCATTACTTTCAAAATTTTTCAATTTGTTTTCATTATAAAGGGAATAGACGTTCCTTATTAAACATGATAGAAAAGACTGGGTTTGGTGGCTCATGCTTGTGCTTTGTGGGGCTGGGGTGGGAGGATCGCTCCAGGCCAGGGGTTAGAGGCCAGCTTGGGCCACAGCGTGTGGCCCGTCTCTACAAAAATAAAAGTAAAATTAACTAGGCATGGTGGTGTGAGCCCAGGAGCTCCAGGCTGCAAGTGAGCTAGGATTAGACTACGGCACTCCAGCCTGAGCAAGAGAGTGAGACCCTGTCTCTTAAAAAAAAGTATAGACAGCCAAAAAAGTAGAAACAAGAACATTAACACATCATCCTCTACCAGCACTGTGTGTTGGACTGCCGTCTGGTGCGTGTGTGCACCTAGAGGGATCCCAGTCCAGGCACACATACAATCTCAGGTATTCCAGCTTTTGCTTAAAAATGTCTTGAACACTTCCCCGTGTAACTAGACAGCAAAAGATGCAGCTTTAAGGGCCACGTAATGTCCCATCGTGTGAATAGACGACTGCTATCTCTCTACTCCCCTCCTGATCTTTTTAAAAATTATTTATAGGCCAGGCTCGGTGGCTCAACCTGTCATCCTAGCACTTTGGGAGGCTGAGGCAAGTGGATTGCCTGAGACTGCGGGTTCGAGACCCGCCCAGGGAACTTGGCGAGACCTCGTCTCTACAATAAATTAAAGAAATTAGCCAGGCGTGGTAGTGCACGCCTGTAGTTCTGGCTACTTGGAAGGCTGAGGCAAAAGGATCGCCAGAACCCAGCAGGTCGAGGCTGTGGTGGCCAGGAGCATGCCACTGCACTTCAGTCTGGGTGACAGAGTGAGACACAAACTAAAAAAAAAAATTACTTATTTATTTTTAGAGACAGGATCTTACCCTTGTTGCCCAGGCTGGAGTGCAAGTGGCGCGATCATAGTTCACTGCAGCCTCAAATTTCTGGACTCAAAGGATTCTCCTGCCTCAGTCTCCTGAGTAGCAGGGACTACAGGCGCACACCACCATGCCTAGATTCTTTTTAAATTTTTTACATTTCTTGTACAGACGGGGTCTTGCTATGTTGCCCAGGCAGGCTTCAAACGCCTAGGCCTCTGGGTGATCCTCCCATCTTGGCCTCCCAAAGTGCTGGGATGACAGGTGTGATCCACTGTGCCCAGTCCATCACCTGATCTTTCTAATGTTCTATGTTTCTAAAAAACACTGCGGGGCTCCCATACCCACAACTGGCGCATACTTCTGAGAAATGGAGTCTTGGCTCAAGAGTATAGGGCTTTTGAGGGTTTTTTTGTGTTTTTTTTCCTGACAATTTCCCAATTTTCATTCCTACCAGTAGGCTAAGAGACCTGTGTCCTTGGCTTCTCATCAACACGGGAGCTCACGTTTTCTGCTCATCTTTGTCAATCCAGTGAGAAAAGGGAGTATGTAATGGTTACTCCAGTCTGGGCTTCTTGGCAATTAGTGAGTATGACTGTCCCCTCCCCAGTGTCTATGGTGGTGGCATCAGAGACTGGGTGTTGGAGGCACCGTGCCCAGGGCTGTGAATAACACGGGGCAGGGGGCGCAGGCCAGGGCAGATCTGGCATCAGGACTTGGTCCCCTTGGCTACAGCTGCCTCTTTGTTTTTTTTTTGAGTTGGAGTCTCACTCTTGCCCAGACTGGAGTGCAGTGGCTGCTCCCGGCCACCGCAGCCTCGACCTCCTGGGGCTCCTGCAATCCTTCCTCCTCAGCCTTCCAAGTAGCTGAAACTACAGGCGCGCGCTACCACGCCCGGCTAATTGTTTGATTTATTATAGAGATGAGGTCTCGCCAAGTTGCCCAGGTGGGTCTCGAACCCGCGGGCTCAGGCAATCCACTCACTTCAGCCTCACAAGGCGCAGGATGACAGGCTGAGCCACCGAGCCCAGCTTACAGCTGCCTCTTGAAGATTCTCTGTGTGCAGTGATCCCAGGGGCCAGCTGGGCTGGGCCTGGTGGGGGGAGAGCTGCTGCCCCAGCATCTGCCCTGCACCTGGAGACCGTGGAGGCTGCAGGACCCTCACTTTTCAGGGCATCTGCTGCAACAGGGTTCACCTGTCATAAACACCACCAAGAAGTCCCGGCATCCAGGATGACCAACCACAGGGTCTCAGGGACACCAGGCAGGGTGGGGCACCTGAGAGGCCCACTCCATGAAACAGAGCTTGGAAGCCACCCACCTGGTCCAACCTGTCATCGTACGGACTGGGATACCCAAGGCCCAGAGTGGGGATGGGACTGGCTTCAACAACCATCCCACAGAAAGCCATGGCAGGCCTCGCTTTAGCAAGGGGTGCCAGCCTCAGGCCAGAGTCATAAAGATTGTCTTTGTGTCTGAGACTGGGCACCCTTGAGGCGGCTCATACCCCTGAGCCAGCCCAGTGCCACTGCGCTTGGCATCTGTTGGGCCCGGGTGTCCGAGAACACCTTCTACTGAGGGGCGCTCGCTGCCCAGACAACCCGGTGCTGCTGGGATGAGCCCAAAGGATCCTTTCACGGCTCTTGAGCCGCGACTCAAGGAACAACAGGCGACACTGGAGACGAGGCCATCCTGGCTGACATCACTCCCTGGGGCTCGGCCTCAGAGAGAGGGCCTGTCTGACACGCGGCTGAGACGTGGGTTGCGTGAGGTCATTCAACAGCCGTGGGGGATGTGCAGGACAGATGCTGGGACAGCCGCTCTCTCCCCACCAGACCCAGCCCAGCTGGCCCCCTGGGATCACCGCACACAGAGAATCTTCAAGAGGCAGCTGCAGCCAAGGGGACCGAGCCTCAATGCCAGACCTGCCCCGGCCTGGGCTCCTGCCCCGGCAGTTCACAGCCCTGGGGACGGTGCCTCCAACGCACGGCCCAGGTCAGGTTCCTCTGAGCGCCCTTCTCGGCCAGGCCTTGCCCCAGGCCCAGGGGGACTCCACCGTCGCCCCAGATCGGCCTCAGGCCTGCCCAGCCCAGCTTCGGCGAGAATCCCACAGACGGTTCATCAGGAATCCCCGCTTGTTTCCCTCGCCCCCCCAGCCCTGCCGCCTAGGTCTCTGGCTGCCCTCAGCAAGAATTCTGCCAGGTCAGTTCAGCAACTTTCCGCGTGCCGACCCCTCCCCTGTCATTGACTGTCATTCACCCATCTCCATCACACGCAGCATCCTCGTCTCTCTCCTTGGTGCTATAGTCAGGAGAGGCTTCCTTACCCGTTCTGACAAGTGTCAAGGTCATGTTCTTGAGCAGGAAGGCTTGGGAACAAATAGGGAGCAGGTGGAAGAGGCGTGCTGAGATAAAGACTAAGTGCGAGCAAGCAGTGTGAACGATGGGGTTCAGAACACGACCCCAAAACACAACCAGGAGGCAGAAGGTGCTATCCAGACACACCTCTCTAGCCTAAGGATTCTTTTGATTTGATTATTTGGGGAAACAGCATAATCAAAAACCTGTGATGGTGAATGGGGTCGGGGTTTCCCCATGACATGCTGAAATGCAGAGAAAGGTTGGGCACGTTCTCCTCCCAAGCCCCACCTCCGCCAAGGCTCTGCTGAGCACACACCTCCCTGCTCAGGAAAAGCACCTCACACCTCTTCATCAACCTCCTCTGCAAACTGAGGGGGTGTGGCAGATTGGGGCGGGTTGGTTCGGTGCAGGAAGCACCCGAAACTCTCAACTTGGGTTCCCAGAGCTGGGACGGCTCTCCAGAAGAGGCTTGGACAGACTCTCCGTTTATGAGCAACTGGGGACCAAAGAGCTGATGCCTCTGGGTCCTGATGGTTCATTCCACCCCTTCTCATCTTGTCAGGTCAGGCTCCCTGAGATCACTGGGTGGACCAGACAGCCTGGCGTGTGCCCCAGCCCGGCCCTGCCGGTCCCCCCCGTGCGGCCTGACGCTCTTGAACTAGTCCGATGACACAGGTGACCGACCAGCTCGTGTCCAGCACGTGGTATGGACCCAGCAGAGGGCAGGCCCCTGCCCTGGGGACTAAGTAGCACATTTGTGTTGTTACCTTGAAGATACATCTCCTCGCCTTCTGCAAACATCTGGCCACACCTGACACATAGCGCACACGAAGGGTGATAGTGTTTCTCCCCCGCCTGCAAGAGAGCACAGAGTACAGGTGTTTCCACCAGAGGCAGAGACGTCCACGGGACCGCAGCACGCGGCAGGGGTACAGCACACTCCAGGCCACGTCCTCAGGGGATGCTGGGAGGTGTCCTGAGTGCCGGAGGGCCCCCAACCCTTGGGGCCAAAAGGCCCCTGCACAGAACCTGGACCCAGGGGGTGCCCCAGGCTAAGTAAAGTGCCCCGTGGAAGGCAAGACGAGAACGCGGTGCACCTGCTTGGCCTGCAGGAGACCAGGCATCCAGGTCCCTCCTGGGCTTTTGACGGATAGCAAAATAGGGGCCTGGTTCCCTTCGGCTCAATAGCTCCAGAAGGAGGGGGAGGGGCCGGGAGAAGAAGAAGAAGAAAAGGGGGAGGAGTGGGAGGAGGAAGAAGCGGGGAGGGGAGAAGGCGACACTCTCTCCCCAGGTGGGACTGGAGGGGCGTGGTGAAAAATGATTAAGGGCCGGCTTGGTGGCTCAGCCTGTCATCCTAGCACTTTGGGAGGCCGAGGTGAGTGGATGACCTGAGCCCGTGGGTTCGAGACCCGCCCCGGAAACTTGGCTACACCTCATCTCTACAATAAAATAAAAAATAGCCGGGCGTGGTAGGGCGCGCCTGTAGTTCCGGCTACTTGGAAGGCCGAGGCGGAAGGATCACCCGAGCCCGGCAGGTCGAGGCTGCGGTGGCCAGGAGTGACCACTGCACTCCAGTCTGAGCGACAGAGTGAGATTCCAACTCAAAAAAAAAAAAGATTAAGAATTTTTTTTGGTCTTTATATTGCTCAGTTTTCCCTCAGCATTCTCTACTTGCATTGTTCTTTTTTTTTTTTTGAGTTGGAGTCTCACTCTCTCACCCAGACTGGAGTGCAGTGGCCGCTCCCGGCCACCGCAGCCTTGACCTGCTGGGCTCCAGCGATCCTTTCGCCTTAGCCTTCCAAGTAGCTGGAACTACAGGCGCATGCTACCACGTCCGGCTAATTTTTTGATTGATTGTAGAGATGAGGTCTCGCCAAGTTGCCCAGGCGGTTCTCGAGCCCACGGGCTCAGGCAATCCACTCGCCTCAGCCTCCCAAAGGCGTGGGATTACAGGTTGAGCCACTGAACCCGGCTGTATCGTTCTTAAATTCCATTAAATGAGATGACAAAAATTCATAGTGAACTATGCTAAACAAGTGACATTGCCTGGTTTGGGTTATTTTTGCGTGGTGCAAACAACCAAATTGCCCCCAAATCCCACATTCACCCGTCCTGGCAGCACGGAGCCGCACCTCAGGGCCAGGGGCGCTGCAGCCTCTGCTAAGTGCTGCCAAGCTCCACGCTAAGCCTCTCCCAAAATGGAAAGAAGACCCAGAGTCCCCGTTTGAATTTGTGATCGTCAGTTTCCTGAATAAGTTAGTGGCGGTGACATGTCATAAGCACCTTGCTCCTTCTTGCCCACGGGTGCCTTGGAGGAAGAATCCAGAAAACATTCCTCTCCTGCATGGGGCTGGCTGGGGTCTCCTCTGCCAAACTTGCAGGCCAGTCGACAGAGCCACTGGTGTCCTCAGGCAAAGGGGCCCTTCCTGGAATCATGGGGGTGCTTGACCTGCCGGTCCTCCCAGCACCAGACCTTGGCCCAAGCTGTCCCTTCCACCTAGAGTGCTCTCCCATGCTCCCACTCCGACCACCCTGAATGTTCTCATCTGAAATGCCACCTCCTCTTGGGCCCTCACAGCCACGTCTCACATGGTGTGGCAATTATTGGGGCATACTGTCCCCCACTAGACAGCGAACCTCTTAGGTGCAAGGTCTGGCACTTGGGCTATTTCAGGGACCTCTGGTTGCACAATCTATCTGGTCACAGAGGTCACAGCACAGCATCTGGCTCCAGAATGAGGGTGAAACTGTCATTTCAGCTATTACTCTTCATTCAGATGTGGTCAGAGCAGTTCTCTCGTCTTGGGGTGGAAATCAGAGACTGAGACAGCTCAGTATTTTTAGAGGTAAAAGTCACCTGGTAACCATGACTCATCACATGCAAAACAAGCCTGAGTGGGTATTCCTGAGCTGGCGGCCTCTGATCTCCCTCACACCCACCTCATCCAGGTGCCCTGATTCGCCCTGAGGGGTATAGCTCTACCCCATCCTACGGCTTCACCTATCCTCCAGGGCAAACCAACCCTGCTGTCTACACAGCATGTCCACACGTGAATCGGGAGGAGAGAGAAGACTGCAAGTTTCTAAGAGGATAGGCTTGAACCTTCCATAGCAACAGTGGCTCCTGTCTCTACAGCTGGTGTCAAGAAGCACTCTACACAGACTCACTTGCCTTAATCCTTGTGTCCTGTGAGGTATCCTGTCACCCTCACTTTTCATAAGTGGAGCAAATTTGGGCAAGGTCTGACCAACGGCGAGGTGCTGGAACCAAGAGGAGGGTCCGAGGTCTGCCCCCAAGTGCAGAGCTTAAGCCCACGCCTGTGAGCTCTCACTCCCCGCCTGGCAGTCCCCGACTTCAGGGTACGGACCCCAACTCTGAGGCGTGGACCCCAGCCTCATGTGCTCTCTGCTATGGTTTGGAGGCTTGTTCCCTCCAAAACTCACGTTGAAATCGAATAGCCAGTGTGGCCATCTTGAGATGGGGTCTTTAAGTGGCGCCTGGATCAGAGGGCTCTGACCTCAAGAACGGATGAACTCGTTTGTGGATTAATGGTCTAACGGATGAGGGGGCTAGCACAGGGGTGGGGCTGGTGGCTCTGTAAGGCAGGAAGAGCGACCTGACAAGTGCTCTCCAGCCCGGCCGTGGGATGTCATGCCCACTTGAGACTGCTGAGTCTCCACCAGCAAGAAGGCCCTCACCAGATGCCTCCCCTCAACCACGGACTTCTCGGTCACCATAACCGTAAGAAACAAGCTCCTTTTCTTAAATTACCTAGTTCTGGGCATTCTGTTAGAAGCAATAGGAAGTGAACTAAGACAACCCTGGACCTCACGCCCTGAGAGAACAACATGGGGACACCATGAACTGCACGTGAAGCCAAAGATGCCAGACACCAAAGAGTGCAGACCCCGATTTTATGAAGCTCAAAACCAGGCAAAACCATCTATACTGTTAGGGTGCCCCAGGGGGAGTGACAGAAAGGGGCCCTGGGGAGCGTCCGAGGCACTGGGTATGTTCTCTTTCTTGATTTGGTGCTGGTTACATGGTTGTCTCCAGTTTGTAAAAATTAACCAACAGCACACGTGAGATCTGTGCACTCCTCTGTGTGTGCCACACACCAGCAAAAGAGTTTTCCCACAAAGGCCTAAACGCAAGAGCCAAGTCCGAAAAACTATTAGAAGATAACATATTGTTAAATCCCCGTGACCTTGGATTTGGCGATGGATTCTTAGATTTGATACCAATAGCACAAACAACAAAAGAAATGGATAAACTGGGCTTCATCAAAATTTAAAACTTCTGTGCATCCAAGGACATTATCAAGAAGGTGAAAAGACAACCTAAAGAATGGGAGAAGATCTGGCCAGGCTCGGTGGCTCAGCCTGTCATCCCAGCACTTTGGGAGGCTGAGGCGAGTGGATTGCCTGAGCCCGCGGGTTCGAAACCCACAGAGGCAACTTGGTGAGACGTCATCTCTACAATAAATCAAAGATTAGCTGGGCATGGTAGCACACACCTGTAGTTCTGGCTACTTGGAAGGCTGACTTGGCAGGATTGCCGGAGCCCAGCAGGGCGAGGCTGCGGTGGCTGGGAGTGTGCCACTGCACTCCAGCCTGGGTAACAGAGTGAGACGCCAACTCAAAAAAAAAAAAAAAAGAATGGGAGAAAATCTGTATATATTATATATCTGATAAGGGTGTAGTATCCAGAATATAGAAAAGACATCTACAATTCAGCAACAAAAAGACAAACAGGCCAACTCACAAAGTGGGCAAAGGACTCGAATGGACATTTCTTCAAAGAACACATATAAATGATCGACTGGTTCATAAAAAGATGTCCAACAGCATTGTCAGGAAGGAAATGCAAACCAAAACTACAGGAGATACCACTTCATACTCGCGAGGGTGGCTGCAATAATAACAAAAACGAAAACAGAACGCGTTGGCAAGGATATGGAGAAACAGTGGGGCTAGTGATACAAAATGGCGCAGCTCCTGGGGAAAACTGTCCGGCCCTCAAAGAGAAACACAGAATTACCCTAGAAGCCTGCAGCTTCACTCCTTGGCATTTAAGAAAAATAGAGAACAGGAGAAATGAAAACACTTATTCGCACAAAACCCTGTGCGTGATGTCCACGACAGCATTGCTCATAATGACCAAAGGTCTGACACCCAAGTGTCCATCATGGCTAAAGAAGCCATAGTCTGTCCACACCACAGTATTATTCAGGAGGGAATGAAGTAGTGACTCTTGGTACAGCGTGGATAACCAAAGGGGGCAGACAAAAAGGCCACTCACAACATGATTCCTTCTGTATTGAAATGTCTGCAAACTTATAATAGCCTGCTTAATATAAGTAACTGCATTTTTGTAAAAAATCCTTCATCTTAGCTGCTTGCTCCCTAGATGTAGCCCTCGCACCCCAGCATGTGACTAAAATAAGTTCCTTGTACTCACAGACCCACAGTCCTGTTTCCTATAAACTGTTTCCCCTGACCATTTGGAAACTCCCTAGCCACAAGTTCTGTGTAATTTTATTACATTTGTAAGCTTTGTTAACTAAACTCAAAGGCTACACCTTGCAAAACTCCAGTGTTCCATTCTCATATTATAAGCCTATATTTTGTTAGTGACCTAACCAAGGTAACCCTATCACCCCATTGTATAGTAGTCCTTCCACCTTGTCTCCATGTAACTGCTCTCATTGTTCCAGTCACCGGCTGTGCCTGGGACATAAAGTTAATCAAAACTCCCTATCAATCAAAAGTTCCAATTTTGGTTGCTAAGTTGCTATGTATCCTTGCGGTTTTTGCCCTTATAAGCCCACCGCCTGCTTCACTTGTGGCCGAGA